CCTCCTCCCGGTTAAACGTGTGATGCCGGTGAGAGCTGAGGTGCAGCCTGGGTGGCAATAACCTCTGCTTGGCGCAGGCTCTCCTTGCCAGAGCCAATTCGTGTTGCTCTGCTCTTCTGTGGCGTTATAATATAATTTCATCAGGTTTGGGTTTGTTTGTGGGGGTTTTTTTTTGGTTTTTTTTTTTTTTTTAAGAGGATGTAATTTCTAACATACAGCCATATGTATCTATATAATGGGCCAGATTCATCCTTGACTGATACCCAGTTGCAAATAATTTGTTGAAGTCCATCTCAGCTTAACTTTCTTGGCCCAGTATCTTTTCTTTCTTTGTGTATGTTTTTAAATGGGCTTCTCCCTCTGTGCTGTTTAGCTCTGGGGACGAAATTCTTCTCTTGGTTGCACAGATGTAAAAGCAGAATACTTATGTGGGTATAAGTAATGTTGCTGGGTGAGAGTAGAAAGAAGGGTGGAACTTAACCTCGTAATAGTACTTTCTAGCTATTAAATATATCAAGGCTGTCTTTGTAAGCAATATACTATTCCAAATAAGGTTATATGGATTAGTTCTCTGGGTTGCAAGTCTTAATCAAAATCAGCTGACTTTAAACACTGTCTTAAAACCACAGCTAGTCAGTGGTCTTGAGAGTCTCTGCTTTTAATTCAGCTTTGATGTGAATTTGGTGAAGACAGCTTCATTGACTTTACTGGTGTTATACTCGCACAGCAGAATATGTGTCAGTAAGGTCTGATACTCCTTTTCTCAGATCTCTGTATAATAGTTCATCCTTTGAATAATACCTGTTTTACCAAGGGTAGGATTCATCTCACGTAACTTTTCTCAGGTTAGGTGGCTAGTCTAAAGCAGTCTTGTTTTTTTTCTGTAGTCATCTCCGGAGAATAATTCATCTTGCTTCTCTCTGGATAGACTAGGTTTCTCTCAAAGCACTGCTAATTCTCCACTGTCAGTAGGGGAAGCCCAGGAGACTGGCATATGATAGTTGCCTGTGTTTTAGATGGCTAAAGTTAAATGAGATGAATCCCACTTTAGAGTACAGTGGTGCTCGAACTGGATACCTATTGTACTGCGTTTTGTGCAGCCCACAGCTAGAGATATCCCAGTCAGCCAAACTGGTGAACGAGGCTGTTCAGATGACACTTGGAAGCACCATCTTCTCAATTTCATGTTATAAATGACGGTTCATCGTGTTAGCCTGCCCTTCTGCCATTTACTGCTCATGGTGGTTTTGGCGTAGAAGCCCTAAGTATGTAGCTTATCTGTTACTTGTTTTATACCCTGCGATATTCCCTGTAATGCATAACTTGTTATTGTGTTAATTCACACTAAAGAGGCCAGAAAGCCAACTAAGATATGAGCCTCAGTTTCTATCTGACTCCCCAGTTTCTAGCTTTCTGCAAGGGTTCTCCTTAATAATCTGTCTCATTCATACTTTTAAGTTTTTCTGAGCCTGGACCCTCCCCCGGCCAACATTACCTAATGGAGCTGGAAAATCTTCCCCTAGCTTTTAGTGCCTTTGGCAGTACCTAGAACAGGTAAAATGGAAATAGTAATTTTGTTTTCCAGTTGCAAGAAAACAATTTAAGCCTTCTTTTCCTTTCAGTATCAAAATTTTAGGAGGAGCTACCAGGCTCTTAAAAGAACTCAGTGTATCACTGCTTTACTGTTGCCCCATGCTACAAAATTAAACAGCCTTTGTATGTGAAAAATTTTTTAAAACCCTTCCCTGCTTATTAAAGATGCCCTTGTTAGAGCTGTCTTGAGCAAAAGGCATTATAAATGTGAATGCAAATGGAATTTTTCACAATGTCAAACTAAGACTTTATTTGAAAAGTTATAGCAAAAACATTCCGAGAATTTTATGGTTATAATCCATGAAGTTTTGACAGTCCTTTCGCACTTACAGAATGTAAATGCATATATAATGTACACATATATAGGGAAAATTACAGAAGGAAGATATTATTTGGTCTAAGAGCTAAATAGGAGCCAAGCTGGGACCTTTTACCCTAAACCGTACCCATTTGTGTCTTGCATGTTAGTGATTTGATAGCACATAGTCAATAGAAATATCAGTCTAGCATTTTCCTCTTAAAAGATAAACCTGCCTCGCCGCACAGGTCAATCAGAGAAAAATCAAAGAATAACCTTTTATAATTTTAACAGGACGGACGTTTCCAAAGAAGGGTCAGACGTGTGTGGTGCACTACACAGGTAAGGCCTGTTCTGAATATTCTCTTGATACCAACTGCCTAGCATTCAAGGGTGGTTTCCCATTTCAAATGTGTTTGTTGTATTTTTTGCTTTGTTCTGTCACTCATAATCCATTCGATTACGTTCTGATGGGTTTCTGGAGTATTTCACTGCTGCCTGAGCAGTTCTGAGCAGTATCTAGATGTGCATGCAGGCAGATCTGCCAAGTGTAGCATTCAGTGGTGAGAGGTTAACAGATGAAGCCATGGACCTGATTCTTTAAGCCATCATACTAGCTAATGAAATAAAGTATGAAACAGTGATATTTTTGCAGCCTCTGATCTTGATACAGACAATTAATGATTGTGTATATCTTAAAAGCTGGTGTCTATCTATTGGCAGTATAGATAATATTCATTCATATGAATTCATATGAATATCATATGAATAATATTCATTCCAGATTGAAGAGATCAAGACAAGATCTATTTAACACCTGCTTTATGGACTTGTATGAATCTTAAGTGGCGAGTTGGTTAACAGAGCTTTTATGCTGCACCTTTGCGCAAAGGGAAAATGTCCTTTAAATCAGTTTGTAATGTTATGTTTTGTATATAGTTATTTAAATTGTCACAAGAACACAAAGACCTCTGCAGTCCGAGTCCCCAGCTGGGAAGTTCACATCAAGAGCTGCCATTTTATGTGATCTTTTCCTTAAGAAGGCAAAACGTAGGTGATGTGGGGATTGACAACTGCTGGTCTGGGCCTAGATCTGCGAGGTAATGTTTTCCTCTAGCTTTCAGTATTATAGGAAAGTTCTCACTGGTAACTGTTGCTCTCTTTCAGTTTTGTACTTGCTTCTGTAGCTTACAGCTGGAACAAGGTGGGAACACTTTCCAGTAAATATAACTAATGAAGTAAACCTATTTGTACTTTCAAGAAGCTTTTTGATATAGTTTCAATAAATCCACTCTTCAGAATGTTATATAGGAGTTAGCGCACCGGCTTGTGGTATAGGATGTCTGGGTTTAAGCTCCTGTACGTTTGTATATTCAGAGTATTTTGATCTGATGAAGATTTCTAGTTTGAATTAGAATTAAACAGATAGATCTCCCATGCCAGTCTCAGCTCTTACAGACTTTCCCCTGCAACTTAGATCTGAAAATAGATATTTTGAAACTATTTTTGTGAAGATGATGAAAGATACATTTCTGTTTTGGTCCAAACTTCAAAAGTTTTTATGAAATAAAATTGTCACCTCCTACCCCCAGTTAGTTTGAGATAAATTTAAATGTCAGAACTGAAATAGGCAAAAAAATTTGAGGCCAGTGGCTCCCACAAAGCGTAATTTTGCTGGATAACTTCAGAGAGAGTGTGAATGGTAAATGTGGTAAGATAACAAGATGCTGCATTGATATTAGATACTATCTTAGATGAGGCTATCATAAGCTGGCTTCGACATAAAAGACTTCATGAAAACTCATTATATCAATCTCCAGTGTAAACTGCGCTTCCTCCATTGCTCTGCAACCTCTCTAACTCCTAGATTAGAACAAATATCAGAAAAATCTCATCATCTCAATTCCAGTGCTGTTGCAATGTCTAAGCAGTCTTTGGTGGTAATACTTTTAAAGGGAGCCCATGGTTAATGGATAAAATGTTTTCTTCCAGTGATCTGTAAAGCATGTTGGAAAGATGACATATGAATGTCAACTTTTAATTTAAAACTATTTTATCTGAATACAATATAACTTCTTCTTATACTGATGCGATCCCAGATATGTCTGGGATTCATCTTGAAATGATCTCTGTCTTATTTATACGATCTCATTAGGCCTCCCTGTACTTAAGGCTTATCCTCACCACATTCCTGTGAGTCCTGCTTTAGGAAATGGGTAGCTAAGTTACAGACATGTCCACAGAGATGTCCAGAACATCTGTTTTGTCACCTAAAATGGGTGTTAGGAAAAATTAAGACACATAGGTGCAAGGAAATGATCTAGAAATCCTGCTTTCCAGAGCTGCTTAATACTGGGAGCATATAAAGCTCGCAAGTTGTCTCCATGTTCAGCCTATATGTCAGTCTGGAGCTAGGCACAGATACCTGTAGGGAGGTGTTGCAGTTGGGGAAGTGAAGGAACCATGCACTGACTAGACTCCACCAAGATGTAGAGATCATTTGGATCCCCAGAAAAGCCGAACCTCACTGGAGTGCTCTAAGCACAGCTCTGAATCCAGCATCAAGCACAGCAGAGACAGCAGCCACTTTCAGTGAAAAACCTGGCCTGTGGGAGCCCACTTTACATGTAATAACTGAACAGTTGTTTCAGGCACAGCAAACTTATGCTCAGTTGCCTTTTCCAACAGAAGAGGGTTATAGCTCTATTTGCCACATCCTTAACTGCAACTATCACATTCCTGGGGAGGAGAAAGCTGAGGTTTTCTACTCCCTCCAGTTTAGCTTGGGACATTCAGCAGTGAATGCAAGAGCCATGGGCAAGAAAAGGAGCAGGCAAGAGGGTGAGTAATTGGTTCAGGCACTTATGCAGCAGTATTGAAGGAGTTGCATTCCAGTCGCTGTCTTCAGGGATTAATTTTGTGTTTTGCTTTGATTTTTTTTTTTTTTTTTTTAAATCCAATGATTTTCCCGTACAGTGGTGCCTAGTCTTGACAGCTTGGTAGACCATGTAACTTCTTACAGTGGACCTTCCACTGTCATACCAACGCACACACTATGTGGTGATACAGCTCCTTAGCGCAAACATGATTAGTTCCATGATTCCCTGAAGGGCTAGGTTTTTGCACATGCATAGAAAAAACATTGCCTATCCACTAATTATTCATGTCTGGAGAGTTTCCAGCAAGGAGGAGGAGAAGACTAGAAGGGACTTGCTTCTGCCAGAGCAAGTTATGAAATTTTAAGGCAATTCAAATGAGGAGTGGGCTGTGGGCTTAATTTTGTCTTACTTCCCCATCTTGCCTTCCCTCTCCAGGAGTCTCATAGATGTGCATTTACCGTGTGATAGGGAGTGATGGCAGAGAGCATGGACAGGAGGGGACTGCTGGCACTACAGGAGTAAAAGGCTTGTAGCTTGCTTCTGAGGCATCTTTGGGAAAAAGGTTTTTAGGAGCAAGCTGTCTGCATGAGTTGTCCTGGCAGTCCATGTGGAAAAAGTCCAGAGAGAACCAAAGGCTGGCACCCTAGATATTTGGTAGAATTTTAGAGTCCTGTCTGCTCATCCTCCAGGATCTTATGATTCATGCATTGCCAAGGTAGGGATTCAGCAGAGTAGTTTCTAGTCTGATGACCCTACATGTTCTGGAGAAGTGGGAAGTGAGAACTGGAATCTCCTCAAGATGAAGGAGAACTGTGACTGAGTTTTACACTTCTGCTGTCAGTGCTGCAGCTATTAGGCTGTTATCTGTGGCAACTTTGCCTCTTTCTCTCCTTGTTTGACGAGATGCATAATCTCAGGAGCAGACTTTGTGGTCTGATTCCCAAATGCGTTGTGATGCCTTAATGGACAGACCTAAGTTCTGGTGGCAGCAGGAGTTAAGGTGCAACCTCACTGAGGAACAGTTTAGAAAGAACCTCCTAGTTTAAGCAAATATTTTCCTTTTTTG